CTCCTGGTCTCACGCTGGTACGGCCTTGGGCATTCCTGAAAACCAGGTAACAGTACTTCGGCGCTAAAGGGCTCCCCTACTAACCCTCCCCCCCCCCCATTTTTCTTGTATTGGCAGAAACGAAGCAAGCAAACTAGCAGGATGGTTAATCGATTGTGAGGCTTCTGACAACCCCTCTTATTGCTTTGCAGCAATAGAAAAACTATCAGAACTGTAAGAACTGAACTCTGTATATGCACTTTGCTAGTGGAACAGCTATGTTTGGTACTTAAAAAAAAAGAAAAAAAGAATGTGTAATGAGTCAGCTCCAACCCTCCAAGGTATCCTGGATTCTGGAGGCTCTCACCTGGTACAGAGTCAGAACGTGAATATTTTATGGGCTCCAGAGACGGAAACCTAGGCGCGCGGCTTCATTGGAGAGACAGCGGTGCTGCAAATTGTGGATTACTGGGCACAGATCTAACAGATCTAACCCTCCCCATTCATCATTTCCTTCCATTTTTTTTTATTTTTGAAAAAACTTTAGTTTGGTCTTACTCCAGTCATACATCCAGGGCAGAAAAAGGGGGAGAAAGAGCACCAGGAGGGGGGATCTGCAGTGGGCAGGAACAGGGGAGAGAAACCTAACAGAGAAGGGAAAAAACAGGGAGCTGGAAGGAGCGTGCCTGAAGCTGACCCCCACAGAAGAGCTGTGCATCACCCGCACCAGTTCAAAATGTAAGTGGGGGGCAGATACACACCCCACCTGCTTGCTGAGGCTTTGGGGGGAATACAGATATTGAGAGGCACGAGCGACTGTTGGCCCCTTTGGGAACATTCAGTGGGGGGGGGTACTCTTGGGCACTCATCCAGCCGACGCTTGCCCCGTAGCGGCGGCTGGTGAGCCTACGTGCCCCCGCCCCGGACTAGCGGGTATCCCTTGCTTGACCTCCTTCAGCTGTTCGACAGCCTTCGAGCACCGTTGGAAGCGGCGACAGGCGGCCTGGCTGGGGAAATTCCATGTTTGCAGGACGGGCGAGGAACACGTGGAACCTTCCAGCCGTCGTCCTGGAAAGATTCGGGCAAGGCGGCAAGGCGGCAAGATACGCAGCCGCGGGTGTCCGCTTCGAAAGGGAGCCTTTCGGACGCTCCGAGAGGGACCAGCCCACAGGCCCCCGACGCAGAGAAGGGTCCTCGGCAGAGACACCCCGCCGAGTTGGGAAGCGCAGCCTCCCGAGAGAGGCAGCGGGGGCCGGGCAGAGGGAGGGGCCGGGGCTGGCGCCCAAGAGGAGCACCGTTTAAAAGGCCCGGTCGGCCCGCCCCGTCTAAGCTGCTCCCCGCTTCTCCCGGCTATGGCTCCGTCGCTGCCGCCGTTCCTGCGCTTGCTGTTGCGCTGCAGGGCCTTCCTCATGCTCTTCGGCACCCCGCTCGCTCTGCTGCCGCTGCCGCTGCTGATCCCCACCCAGGTAGGTCCGCGGCGCGCCCGGCTCCTTGTCGGAGGGAACACCGGCTCTGGCGGCGCTGGTGCCCCGTCCCGGAGCGCGCGCTGCGCCCTCGACGATCCCCAGGCCGTCGAGGATCTCTCGGGATGGTTCTTGGCCCTGCGCCCGCTCGGACGACCCAGAGCTGGGCGCTAGTAGCCCGAGCGGATGCCGTCGGCGCGCGAGAGGAGCGCTCTGACCTGAACCAAACGGCGGTTCGCTTCTTGGCGGACGCGGGTGACAGCCCTGGAGGGAGCGACCCGCTCTCCGTTTACGGAAGAAACGGAGAAAGAGAACGAACGTGTAACCGTTTGGCCAACGGTTTGCTGGAAAAACAGCGCGGGCACCTTCTCCCCGTAGGGAGAAGGAAGCCCGTGTGAAGGTGTGAGGGCAGCGGGGGTGGAGGAAACTCCCCATTGGACAGAGTGGCCTCTTAAAGCTGTGGTAGCTACATAGAGCCTCTATCGACAGATGCAGTCTACCTTAAAACGAGTTCTGTAGCGAAAAAGGGGAGATATTTTTCCACCCCATAGCGTGCTGTTGGCTTTGTGGAAAATAGGGCAAGCCACATTTTTTGTTACGAATAGCAGTCATAAGAAACACTGGGGTAGGGAAATAGAGACCTTACGAGGAGGACTAGTTTGGAGAAACGGAATAGAAGCATTTCTCTCTTTTCTTATAACATTAGAACTGAGATGAGGGGAAGATTAAAACATTAAATTCATAGATAGTAACCAAATTAAATCTTTGTGGTCAGAGGCAGGCTACCTCTAAATCAGTGTTTCTTAACCTTGGCAACTTTAAGATGTGTAGACTTCAGCTCCCAGAATTCCCCAGCCAGCCACTTGAAGTCCACACATTTTGGAGCTGCTAAGGTTGAAAAACATTGCCCCGTCCCATCAAATGAGGAAATCGTCCCTTGTAGAGGGAATCTGCTTTTCCTCACTCCAGTTACAGCCATTCATTTTTTATAAGACAAGTCTCTTATAAACGTGTCTACGTGTCTCTTCCTTAGTTTTTCTCTACACTGGCTTGTTAATTTCTAAGCCTGACTTGTATCCTTGACCTTTTAATCAATTATTTGCTCTAAGTAAGTTAGGAGACAGTTTTTTCTAAAGGTGAGTGGATGCAAGGGTTGGAGATGCACAGAGATCTTCTTCTGGATCTGCACATACGTCTTAGTGTATTCCTCCCCAGTACATGCAGAGGAGGCTATAACTGAATAATCTTCCAGGTAGTGAAATATGAGTAAGATCAGGAAACATTTTACAATGGAGTGTTGAGGATCATTTGAGATTTTTCATTTGATACTGTACAATGATTGTAATATGCAGAACATACAGACCTGAAATCTGGTTAACTGTTGCACCACTGTTGGATCTACATCTGTCCAAGAGAATCTGTAAAACATGGATAATCAAGCTGGTGCCTTCCAAATATTTGTGGAAGCCCACATCCTTTTGCCATTGGCCATGTTGGCTGGGGAATTTTAAAGTCAAAGTACCTGGGAATTTTAAAGTCAAAATACCTAGAGGGCACAAGGTTGCCTGTCTGTGCTGCAGAAGTGTTCTAAATAATATCTGTTTCAGAAAAATTATGGAGGTCTGTTTGGACATGCACGCACACACACAACCAACCCCCCCCCCAACAAGACAAAGATTACACAGTAATTTCTAGAGAAGCAAAAGAGGTATTAGTCTGTACCAACAAAAATAACAAAATATTTTATGTTACCTTAAAGGCAAATTATATTCTTAGTCTTTAAACTGTTTTAAGGCTCTTTGTGGCTATTACCCAGTAAATCTTCCCTCCCATCAGGCATGTCATGGTTAATATAAAATTCTAGTGGATTGGTGAAAATCACTTGTTTAGTCCAGAGAGAAATTTGCAAGTCTGGTAGGGCATGAATCCACTTGCTGCCCTTGAGTAAGGCTTTATACATAGTCATTTTGGGCACAGGCAAATTGACAAGTATGAGGTATTTGCACCAAATAGCCTCAAAACACCATTTATAGCCACTTAATTAGTCTTCCCACAAGAAAATTGACTTGACAAATTCCAGACTACTTCACTCTCTCATCAGCAGTTTCATCTGGCATGTGCATGCAACATTGTCTGAGTTGTGGGCACTTTAATTGTGGTTTAGCATCTTCATTCTGACAGGTATAGGCTGGTGAAGGAGGGGGGAATCACCCGTCTCCACACACCAAGAGTGGTTGACATAACTTCTAGAGCAGTGCTGGCTGGGGAATTCTGGGGATTCTGGGAGTTGAAGTCCACATGTCTTAAGTTGCCAAGGTTGAGAAACACTGTTCTAGAGGAATGATCAGTTCTGCTCCTGATAGATGGAGAACTCAGGGCTGCTTATGGCTCCTGAAAAGTGAAGGACTGGTTTATTTGCTTCTAGTACCTCTTAAGGACACTAACCCCTTAGACTAGGATAGATCATTTAGTGTCCCCAAAGTCACATATTCTCCCCCGTCCCTTTGTTTAGGGCAGGAATGCCCAACATCTTTTAGCTTGAAGGAAACACCAGGCTTTGGGCAACATGTCATGAGCTGCTCTCCAGAAATTAGCAAAGGCTGAAAAATGAGTTGGGGTAGCATCTGGGACCAGAAATGGTATACTGATAAACTGTATGCTATGGGCTATACTTTTTGCATCCTGAGATTATGTCCTGGACAAAGGAAACCCTCATGTCTTAGCTTGTGATCCAGAGTTTAAAGTGCTACAGGTATTTGTGTCTGCCTCTGTGTGTCTGAATGTGTGCTTCCTTGTCCACAGGAGGCCAGATGTGGCTATGTGATCATTCTCATGGCTGTGTACTGGTGCACAGAGGTGATTCCTTTGGCTATTACATCTCTCTTGCCAGTTGTTTTATTCCCATTGTTTGGCATCCTGGAATCCAAAAAGGTACGGAGCAAAGGCAATGATGGTAAAAACTTTTTTTTTCATGAGTTTTACCTTTTTTTAAAAAAAATCTTTCAGGTGAAATCAAGAATTGAAGTTAGATAAGCAAAATCCTATAATCCTCACCCAGTGGAAAGAAGTTAAGAAGCTTAGAAATATTGACAGCATTCACACAAGACACTAAATCCTAAATATGGGTTAACAGAACACAGTTGCTATGTTCAGTTGTTTGTTACGTTCCAGTAATATGTTATTCTCAAATCAGTGAACCATCGTGACTGAACAAGATGTACTGATTCCCACAATATGTTAGGATGAGGGCTGGGTTCCAACTGTATACTAAACCCAAGAATATTCAGCCTCATTTTAAACTAGCCTAGTTTGTGCAAACCCAGGTGTCCCGTTCAGTTAGAAGTGAATAGGAAAAAAAGAGCAGAGGTGATAAGAAGGGGGTCTGTGGATTGGATATTGTAGCATAAATTCCTATAGCAATGTCTCCCAGTTCTGCATCAAAGCTTCTTTCCTTCTAACTCCAGAGGCCAGCTGTAACCTTACTGGTAAGGGAAATGCATTCTGCATGTGCCCAAATGTTCATTAGCAGTGAGAATCTACTTTGCCATCCTCTGTCCCAATCAGGTGTGCATGCAGTACCTAAAGGACACAAATATGCTCTTTGTTGGGGGCCTGATTGTGGCTGTGGCTGTAGAGCATTGGAACTTGCACAAGCGGATTGCGCTCAGAGTGTTGCTAATCGTTGGTGTGAAACCTGCACTGTAAGTAGTAACTCTTCTCTCCCTTTTCCCAAAGTTAGGCCAGGTTGGATTAAATGTGTTGAGGAGATTAATGCAAAAATGGCACATGCATGTCTGGAGATTTTCCCAGCATGCTGGCTGGGGAATTCTGGGGGTTGAAGTCCACACATTTTGAAGTGGCCAAGGTTGAGAAACACTGCAATAGATCATTGAGCTAACAGTCTCTCCAGATCTGGGCAGCAAAAATGCAGATCACCACCAGATGGCAGCAAAGAGATCTAGATATAGATGTGGCGTCTCTAGCTTATGAGATACTCTTTTCCCCACTGTGTCCCCTTCCAGCCTGATGATGGGATTTATGGGGGTTACGGCCTTCCTGTCCATGTGGATCAGCAACACAGCAACCACTGCCATGATGGTCCCCATCGTCCAGGCTGTTCTGGACCAGATGAACAATACAGAGGAAGACCTGGAGGTCATGGAATCAACTGCTGGACACATCAACAACGCTATTGAACTGGAAGGGAAAGTGTCCACCGGTGTCTCCACAGTGCAAGGTGAGTGGGTTCCCTCCCCAGCAGATAGAAGAAAACATTTCTGAAATTCATTTGGGATTTACATCCTTGGCAACTTATGAGGAAAATCTGGACTATTGATTTTAGCTACAAAAATGCTATATACTTCATGAACTAAACAGGGGAGAGTGCAATGACACGGATATGACATAGGTGAAAGTAAATGAGAATCTTGCATTCTTTAAAGATAAACAAATTTATCAGTTGGCTGATAGACGTAGGGCCAGAGGCCACTAAGGGCAAAAATGTGTTATGTGATATTTGTATTTCCTGTTCTTTGGGGCCCCTTGTTATCTTTACTTGGTTACATATTTAATTGCTTTAATATATGGGATATTTAAGCGCATATTTAATTAAGCACATATTTAATTGCTTTAATATATGGGAATAAGGAAATACAGAAATACAAAAAGAAAAGAAAAACAAAAGCAAACTGAAATGGAGGAAAAAGAACAAGAACAAAGATATCATATATTATAAGAAATAGTTTTTAAATACAGCATTGAATCTTGTCACATATAGTAGTATTGATCAATGTTTTCATTAAAAGGCCAGTTCACAGAGAGCAAATACAAATCATTAAATCAAAGGATATACAATTTTTCCATTGTAACAGAACTTTTTTTTCCTATGCCCTACTCTTGATAAAAACCATAATTCTTCATTTATTGATCTATTACAATATTTCAACATATAGTTCAAAATGACATCCACATCTTTAAAACATATTGCTCTTCCCAAGTCCATATTAACAAACTTATGGATAAATCGGGTAGTGGTTGGACAAGCCCATATCATATATGTTAGTCCCCTTTATCATGTTATACTTTTAACATAATGTTGACAACCAACCCTTTTTAAACATTCTTCAAGGTTTTAAACATTCTCCAATAAACGTGAAAAAAACTTGTGTTGAATGAGTCTCATCATAAGATCATAAGAAACCTGCTTAATATTCTTTCAGACTCTTTGCATTGATTTTTTCAATTTGGTCTATTCTAACTCTTTATTTCAGAGTTCTTGCAAATAACTAATACTGCCCTAAATGTATTCTTTAATTATCCATTGAAGAAAACCCCGTAGGTTTGGAATCATCCAAAACACTTTTCAATATTGATAATTAGGAACTTTTGATTTCATTAATACATCTGGACTGGGGCTGATAGTTGTTTTTAACTTGATTGTTTGAATTCCATAAAGAAACAGAGGTTAAAATATGTGCTCATTGATAAAACTGAAAATCAGATAAGTTAAACTGCTCATCTTTATATAGCAGCCATACTTTGGACAGAGAATTTAAAAGTTTGTCCTTTTCACAAAAACTTCCTTAATAACTTATAGATCTTTTAAAAATATAAGGTATTATATATTATATTATATTTACCCCCCCCACGTCATCTTGAATGTCTTTAGTATTTATGTATAGGGTTTGGTTTATAGGGGATTTTAAGGGATTCTGTTTTTAATTATTTATGGGTTATTTTAATTGTTATAGGCTTTTGGTTTTTTAATTGTGAGCCCGCCCAGAGTCACCCATTTGGAGAGATGGGCGGCATACAAATGTAATAATAAATAATAAAATAGATAAATAAATATTATCATAGGAATCCCTCTCAGTACCTATATCCATCTTGAATAATACTCATTTTTACAATATTTATCTTTCCCCATATACTCACTTGGATGTTTAAACACAGACTTGATCAAACATTATCAATTTCATCTGATAAACAATTTGAAATATTTACATCTACAAATAAAAATATTTTAATCTCTTATTTAAAAGAATTCATACAGGTAAAACTCACATTTTTACAAGTATCCCTGGATGCATTAGAATCAATAGGAAGTATATGAGACATATTTAATTAAGCACATATTTAATTGCTTTAATATATGGGAATAAGGAAATACAATTAATTGAGTAGCCTGAGAATTAACTGACTTTTTTACTATATCAATACATTTTGGCAAAACCATTCATATTTATCAGTAAGAAATAATCTATCAGCGAATAGTAACTGTGTATTCAGTTGCTTTTAAGACAGGCATAATAGTTCCAATATCAAATTAAATATATGAGGAAATAAAAAAACCTTTATCAGTTCCATGAATCATATTGATAGATGAGACAATAATTTCGCTTGTATCAACTCTGGCTGAAGAATTACACAATTACATTTTCATCCAATTAATTTGATTAAGATTTGTTTCAATAAATTTCAGCTTCACCATATCCAAGGCCCTTTTCCATTGCCGATAAAATTCTACTGTCGATTCTAATTTTTCTGAAAGTGTATAATTAATAGTCAACTAATACTCAAATATCATCCAAGGCTTGTTGTCCTTTCATAAAACCAGATTGATGGGTAGATAAACAACGGTAATCTCATTTGTAATCTACATGCCAAAATCAAAATTTTAGCATCAGCATTTAACTAAGCAATCAGATATTCATGTGCATAATCAGTAGACTCTTTACCAGCCTTCAAAATTAGTTATTGATCCTCATTAAAATAAATTGAAAACAAGTTTTCTTAAAAAGGATTGTTACAAACCACCAACAATATAGGAACAAAATTCAGTACCTGTCTTCTACAATTCAATAAAATAAGCATTAACTCCAGGATGCTTTTCTTGTCATAGATTTAATAGTATCTATTATTTCCTGAAGAAGCAAAGATGTCTAAAAAATAGCACGATCATGTGTGACCTCTGGAAGAACAGTGTTATTCAAGAAGCAATTAATTTCTGACCTGGTTAACTTTGATTCAATATTAAAAAGCTGAGTGTTAAAAAAAAAAATTAAAAAAAACCTTGCTGATTTGTTAGAGTCGTTATGTAATTTACCCTTCACATCCTTAACAATGTAAATTATGTTACTTTGAAGTTGCTGTTTAATCAACAAGCCACTAATTTTATTGGGGCACTCCCAATATCATTGCTTTATGCAATTCAGTACAATTTTGGTTTCAAGTGCAGAAAAAGAATTAAATTCCAATTTGGCAAATATAAAAGCTTTGTATACTTCTGCTGTAGGTTGTCTTGCATATATATTCAAAGTTTCTTTAACCATCACGCAGATCTTCTTGTTCAGATTTTTTAATTCTTCTTTGTCCAGGGGCATGTGCAGTAATAGAGGTAGTACATATAAATATGATCTTGAGTACGGTGTAATGGTTAAAGGGTGGAACCAGCACAGGGAAGATCCAGAATCTCCCAGCAAAGAATCATCTTGTTATGAAGGATTTAAAACTTGTCATATATCTAACAAATTAAGCTTCAGTGTAGAAGCTAGTAGCCTTTTCAATGTATAAGGATGAAATTTTTAATTGGAGTAGTATTATAGTCTAACAAAGGATGGAAAACTTGATGAAAATATCCAGCCATAACTATCTGATCCATAGCTAAAGTAGGAAGATGTTTAAAACAGTTATGTAAAGCCTCTGGATGATGTTTAGTAGGGCCATCAACATTAATGAATGCAATACAATTATTAGACCATCTCGTTAATGAAACCAAGCCTTATGACTGTGACTGATGCCCTCATCACCCCATGGTTAAGAAGTTTTACATGGGGCTGACCTTGAAAACCTTGGAAAATTTGTATGCTGCCCAGAGTCATCCTCTGGGGGAGAAGGGCAGCATACAAATTTAATAAATAAATAAATTTTTAAAAAAACCTCAGAAGTTGCAGTCGGTTCAAAATGCAGCGTCTGACTACCAATGGGAGGAGTGACGTTGCACCAATGCTGCATTGGCTACAGTAGGTTTCCAAGCCAAATTGAAGCTGCTGGTTTTAACTTACAAAGCCCTACAAGTACACTGTCAGTACTTTCAAGATTGTCTTTCCCAAGCAGAATTAGCCTGTCCTTTGTCATCATCCCAACAAGGGTAGCAGAGGGTCCCCGCCCCACCTGAAGTGAAAGGAATAGGGGCCTGGAAATGTATATGTACACACACACATGCAGACACATATACTTAAAGGACTGCTGCTAATTCATCTCGGCTCATCCTAGCCCAATAAATTAACTGCAGTCTCCTGATCAAAACAATGTTGAAATGAAATAAAGATATTCAAGATTAGACTCATATCCAGTGTTTCTCAACCTTGGCAACATTAAGATGGGTGAACTTCAACAGATTATCCTGGAAAAACAGATTATCCTGGAAAAAGGGGGAAAAAATGTTTAATTCCTCTGGGTCTTGCTGCTAGGAGAGTTCCATTAAACAACTTGTTCAGGTGAGCCATCTTTGGAGGCAGATAGCCTGGAAAAAGCGTGGTTTTATTAGCGTTTCATGCCAAAGATCCTTCTTACTGAGATAAGTGCAGGGTATAGTCTCACATTGTGGATCTGAAAAATCTAAGCACAGCAAATGATATGAGCAGTGTTTCTCAACCTTGGTAGCTTTAAGATGGGTGGACTTCAACTCCCAGAATTCCCTGGCCAGCATGCTGGCCAGGGAATTCTGGGAGTTGAAGTCCACCCATCTTAATGTTGCCAAGGTTGAGAAACACTGGATATGAGTCTAATCTTGAATATCTTTATTTCATTTCAACATTGTTTCAACATCTACGAGCAGTTGTTTCCCAGAATTTTTGAACAGAGGAATTCCTTTTTCATTTGATTCAATAACGAAGGCTCTAAACTCTGTCATGTTCTTATTCAGAGTCTTTAGCTCATGTCCCAATTACTATTTCAGTTCATCCACTGAAATCCTGCCTTGCATAAATTCAGTTATTCTAAAAGACTTTAACTCATGAACGGTACCTCTGAACATAAAGAGCAACTCCAGGTTAGTTACATTTATCTGTTGCTCATTTCACTTGTGGAATGAATTGAATCAGGTCTTTTTAGAGACCTGATGTCAGCCCTTTGAGGTAGAAGAAATACTGGAACTCTGCTTTATTAATATAGGCTGTAGTAACAGAATCTTGAAAGCCTGACAGTGTTTCTCCTTCCCACCCTCTTATATCAAAGAGAATCAAGACAGAGCAGTCTTGAGCTTCTTTCTCATACTTTCCTGTTTTCCCGTGTATTACTAATGGTTGCTGCATATTTTCTCCAAGCCCTTCTCTGCACCCCTCAATACTTCAACTCTGAGAAACGTTTTCTTTCCCTCTGAGGTTGAAGAGGGGGTGGTGGTGGATCAATTTTTCTATCTTTTTGCCTTTGGACCCATAATTTATCACCACAGAGCAATAACTTTAATGGAGAGAAATCAAAGGTGTTTTCTGCTTACTAATGAGACAATAAAGCAGTCAACGATAAGGAGATTATCACCTAATCACTGGAGAGGTCCCAAGATATACTCCACCATTTCAGCCAGGAGAGGGAATGACTCTTGTGCTTCTCACAAATTGGCCTCAAATATTACATACCGCACAAGCTTCTTTGGTTAGATTCATATACCATGCTAAGCCTGGTTCTGTTAACTCTGCTTGGTTGAAGAAGCTGCAATTGACTGAATTCACACATCTTATCAAAAGATTTGGCAATACAAACATTCAATAAATAAATAAACCAAAGTCTGAAAATTACAGCAGCTGGGTTTATACATCTACCAATACACCACATTATGGCTTACTGTATTGCAATGTGTAAATGGCGTCTCCGTGGATTAACATACAAAGTGGTTTAGAATTTTTGTGACAAAACCCATGAATCTAATTAAGATCTGAAGCATTATGTCTGAAATTTTTCTGTTCCTCGGGCCAGAACGCTCAGCATTTTTGCCTGGGAACAGTTCTCATGGACGAAATGTAAAGCGAGCTGTTTGCTATCAGAAGATGTAATAATGGCTATTAGTTTAGATGGCTAAACACCCACCCACATATAAACCACAGAATGCACCTCCATATAGCAGATGCTTAGGAGAGATCATAGGAGGAAACCATCTCTCCTGCTTCTGAGCTTTGGGAGCAGGTGCTGAGGCAGAATCAAAAATGGTTCCTCTGCTGTCAACTTTCAGCCCCACCCTCTCTTCTCATCACGAGGGCGATTTGTCGTAGGCCAAGCCGTGCTTATTTTTCTCCATCTGTAGGCAATGGATACCTTCCTGATGATTCCCAAGAGCGAGACAGGGTAGCAAAGAAGCATGTCAACAAGGGAATGACCCTGTGTGTGTGTTATGCAGCAAGCATTGGCGGGACAGCCACCCTTACAGGGACAGGCCCTAACTTGGTCCTGAAAGGTCAGATGAATCAGTAAGTGCCCTACTGAGACGTGATTTTTAAAACCAGAGTGGGAAGTGGTTTTCCTCATCTGAGGACTCATTCCTTCCTCCTGGGATCCCACCTGAGACTTTGTTTCTTGCAATTGGCAACCGTCAGTGAGAAATCCATTTTCCCAAAGTCTCATGAAAGCATCCACCCAAATCTTGCCCATCGGATCCCCTTCTGTGAAAGAGGACACAACCTCCTTTATTGCTAGGACCCCAAATTGGGTGGGCTTCCCAGAACTGACTGCCGCCTCTCACCCATCCACCTTCAGTGTGCCATGGGCCACTAGATTAGGAGCACAATCACATCTCTTTTCTCCTGTTTTGCAAACAGACTGTTTCCAAAAAATGATGACATCTTGAATTTTGCTTCCTGGTTTGGATTTGCCTTCCCCAATATGTTATTGATGCTGATGCTGGCCTGGTTTTGGCTTCAGTTTTCCTTCATGGGATTTAAGTAAGTCTTTGGGTGGACAAATGAATAATGTGTTGACAAATTAAGCAATTCAGCTTTGGGGGGAAATTTTAGGGCCAGATTATCTGGAGGCTTGGCCTCCAGAGGGATCTCTTCATGGGTCATTTTTCCCAACTGCCCTTTCCTCTGAACAAAGGACAGCATGTGTGTGAGTGTGGAGGAAACCTTTCCTCACTAGCTGTACACAGGATGAGCTCAGCTACCTTTGCACAACATACATAAATCAGCTGAAGATCTAGCAGCCACGTTCACACAACATACTATGGTTGGCTAGTTTTAATGTGACCCTTTTTTCTAGCTTAGTGTGTGGTGTAAATCTAAAAATCAGTTAATTAGATTAAGCATGTTGTATGAATGCAGCCCAAGATCTGTGAATTAAAAGGAATCCCAGTTGGCTTATGCCAAGCCATCTCCTTTGCTTCTAGGCTGGGTTTTGGCCTCTGTTGAGGCCTCCCAAATTCCAGTGGTAGTTCCCACCACGTATAGCTACTTTCCCAGACCATCTTATTTCCTCTCCATACATTCACTTTTCATTCCCTCTCCACATTTTCCTGTCTGCTCCCTAATTCTGTGGATTCCTTGCACTTTTCTGGCTGTCTCTTTTCCGTCTCTTCCTTCGCTTTCCGTGTTCTGAATGAATCACCTGGTATGATCACATGACCTGACACACCTACCTCTGCTGGCTTGTCATTTCTTGTCCACATTTGCCCCTTTTTATCACTGTTGCTCAGTTCCCTTGCTTTGTTTATTTTATTCCATAGTACCAACCGCAATCAATAGAACTCTGAGGTGCACCACAAAGTAATTTAAAAAATGGCCATATTAAATACATAAACTAAGATAAACCAATGTAAAAAGAACAATAAGCCATAAATCACCATGGGTTCTCCAGAACAGTTTGGTTTTTAATAGCTTCTGGAAGGTTAGGAATGAAGGGGTAAATTTGAGGTCTAGAGGGAGGCAGTTTCACAATGTAGGAGCAGCTACTAAAAAAAAAAGACACATGTTGTGTACATCTCAACCTCCTTTACATTGCAGTAGTGGAGAACCACAAGCAGCTTCTCCTGGGATGTAGGAATCAGTGGGTCAATTTTGGTTGGAGGAGATGGTCCTATTGGTACCTTGGAGCCAAAAGTTGCATTTTGAATTGCATCTGGAAGCCAACAGGGAGCCGGTGTAAAGCCTACAGCACCAGTATAGCATGCTTGTGGCAACTCTTGGGCCATTGCATTCTGGACCAACTGAAGGTTTTGAGTTATCTTCAAAGGCAGCCCCATGTAAAGTGCATAGATTAGTGCCAGAGAATGGTGACAACTGACCTTCTGCCCTCTATCCCACTTGGCAAGAAAAGCCTGGCCAGCTACTTGACCATTCACTTCTGCCTTCAGCTTTCGGAAAACCTGGGGTTGTGGAAGCCAAAAGACTGAGAAGGAGAAGGCTACTCTCAACATGCTGAAGGAGGAGCACCGAAAGTTGGGGCCCATCTCCTTTGCTGAAATCAATGTCCTCATGATTTTCACACTGCTGATTCTCCTCTGGTTCACCCGAGATCCAGGCTTCATCCCAGGCTGGGCAACTTTTCTGTTCAATAAAAACAAAGAGTAAGTGGACGTTGCAATTGCCTTGCAAAGACTGAGTCTATACTGAGAGAGCTTTGGGTGTCTTTCCAGATTGCACTAAGCTTGTGATTGGAAGTGAACCAGCAGAACACTGCTGCTTTTGCTTATGTTGAAGACATAAATGTAAATTAGCAGCATGTAGTCCAGACGGAGGGAAAGCAGAGAATTGTAAGCAGGATTGTTACAACTGAGGCTTTATAGTACAGTGGTTAGCATGTGGCATTTTGTCATCATGGACTGAGTTCAAATCCCTGCTTAGCTGTGAAACTTAGTGAACAGCTTTGGGCAAACCCTGCCTCTCTTTGCAGGATGTTTATGAGATAATCCAACGGACTTCATCCTGACATATTTGGAGGGAGGTCAGGAGATACCATCAGACTTGTCACAATACTGACCCGAGTCAGTCATACAATTGATCTGCACGTTGTTTATATTTCAAAGAAGTTGAAACACAGTAATTAGGTTAATTGAGGCAAAGCTGAGGGAGATCTTGTTGATTTGCTAAATCACTACCATTATACAAGCGCTTCAGGAAGGCTGAAGTGGACTGATCCTTTCCCACTTGTTGGCTTGTTGCTTCCGGGGCTGAAAAAAGAGATAGGCACCAGTTCTCAGTTCTCCTTTGTCATTTTCTAAAACTCATTCCAGGTATGTGACAGATGCCACTGTGGCCATTTTTGTGGCGCTACTGCTCTTCATTGTTCCTGCCACGAGGCCCAGATGTGGTTTCTGCAGCCAGAACAGCTGTGATCTGGAAGAAGCTGAGGAAGGTAAAGGATGAAAACTCACTACCTTCTTCCCCAGTCCTGGGAAGTTTCAGGGACCTTATTTTCTGCCTTTGAACTACAGAAGAGTGGTATCTTCTTAAGAGGCATGGCAGGAAGGAGGTTGTTCTTCAAGGGATGGAATCAGAAGGCTTTTGAGATCTAGGATAAATGCTGCTGTAGTGTGCTCCATGTTGCCACATTATACAGAATAAACCTCTTCAGCTGGGCCATGCAGGGGCTTAGCAAGGTTGCAGGTGCTTCAAAAATTACTCAGAAGTGCTTCAGAACTTACATGGCAGGCTGAAAAAAAAATCAGGCTGCTTTAATGCATAGTAGAGAGGTGTTGTGCTTGCTTGAGGTCCAAAGCATTTCTTCCAAAGCATTTTTGAAATATGCATATTCCCTAGTGGCCAAAGTATAATATGAATAGTGTAAAAACCCAATCAGTATGAGTGGAGGTAGGTTAGAGAAGATTAGTTTTAGTTCAAACAGCTGAGAAATCATAAAAAATAGCTCTTCCCTGTTTAACCGAGGCATCTATAATTGTGTGTTACTGGTGGGGACCATCTGACTATATTAGCTGTGTCCTGCAGACATAATCAATGGGTACCATTCTCCAGACTGGTTCAACAGCGTAGTTTAGACAAAACATGTATTCCTCACAATGGTATTAAGCCTTTCATCTCCTTTCTTGGAAAGAAAGCATAGGTACTGAGTAATGTAGTATTTCCTCCTCCAGCCCTAGATTGTATCCAACACATCTGGCTTCTCCTGATTTTTCTACAGGTATGGAGGAATCATTTTTGCCAGCTCCACTGCTGGATTGGAACACCGTCCAGAGGAAGTTGCCTTGGAGTATTGTGTTGCTCCTTGGAGGTGGCTTTGCTTTGGCCAGTGGAAGTGATGTAAGTCCCTGGCACCCATTTCCTGTAATGCTTAGACTCTGATGCAGGAGGAATACTGTCTGGTAGCATTCATCATACAGTAGGAAACCCAGTCCAGTTTACAATGGCTGCATCTTATGCACATGGATCAATGCAAAATGGCAGAATCACTGGCTGCATTACAGCAACATGTTAAGCTTGCTTAGTGTTAACCTTAGTTAGCTTTTTGTGATTTAATATATTTTGCAAATCCAGTCCAATGTATGATGGAAATCCAGCACCATGGTAACCAGCTTCATTTTTTTATGTGAACCCAGCTATTCTCTGACCTCTTTTCCTATCCTACTGTGCTGTGCATAACACAGTGACTAAATTAACATGTTTTCTGTATTTGCACAGAGTCCCACTTTCTGTATTTACACAATAATTGAACCATAAAGTAACCAAACAGCCAGGTTTGTAAATCAAGTTAAACCACACAAACAAGCTAAATTTAAAACTAACCATGCTTAGTATGTGGTGTGAGTGCAGCTGCCAAATTTTAACTGAACCAGTTAAGTGTGTTCAGTTACAAATTTGGCAGCTGCACTCACACCACATACTAACCATGTTTAGTTTTAACTTTAACTTGTTTGTGTGGGTTTAGTGTAATGGATGGACCCAGCCACTATGGTTTATAGATCATGGTGTAAGTGTGATATATGAACTCAGCCATTGTAGCTTGTTCAAACTATGGTTAAAATAAAGCACTGGTTGTGCTGTGTGAACCCAATCCTGAGAATTTTTTCAACTGACTTCTTAATTAGACTCACCAAGTTATTCTGTTTGGGTAGCAACTGCTGTGAGGACCAGGTTTTCCTTGACAAGGGAGCTTCCCATGGACTGCACAGTGCAGAGCAGTGTTTCTCAACCTTGGCACCTTTAAGATGGGTGGACTTCAATTCCCAGAATGGCTGGCTGGGGAATTCTGGAAACTGAAGTCCACCCATCTTAAAGGTGCCAAGGTTGAGAAACACTGGTGCAGAGGATTAGTTTGTTATCAGGAGTTTCCTCTGGTATATTTGTAGGGTTTTCAGTGAAGAGGCACCAATATGCCTCCAATGATTGCTAGATCTATATGAAGATACATACGGCTTGTGCTCTTCAAGTGTTCTGGGAGTCTTTTTACGACCTGGCTCTGTTCCCAGGCCTGAGATTAGGGTGTTTGTGGAGCCCTTGGTGGATTTTCTGGGATGTTATTTAGGTAGTTTTGTCCAGGAAGTTATGTTTCTTTAAACTGCGTATTTTTAAAATATTGTAAGCCAACCAGAGTCTTTTTGAAATTGGGTGGCCTTGGAATTCAATAAGTAAACAAACAAACAAAATATAATTTCCCTTCCTATTCATTAAGCCCCAGTCCAACTTTGTGGGTGATATTAGAGCTTTTAAATACAGCTGCAGGAAAGCAAAAGCCCAGGACCTTTCCTCTTAGAACATAAGTTTCTTAAGCATTTGTGTAAACTTGTCCCACATTTTCTGGAGAACCCTTGATTAGAAAACAACTGGTGATGGCTGGAGCTGGGGCCAGCACACCGTCCTCTCAGTTAGCACATTCTGCTTAGCTTTTCCAGAAAACATGGTTTCCGTTCCATCCGTGGCTGCTAACAACGAACCCTTCACTGCTATCTGTACGCAGTTCTGTGGGGTTCAGTGGGAGAGCTCCTCGCCCTGCTGCTCGGCACCAAACCAGAGTGCTTCTGCCTGACTGGCAGGCGGCTGCCGTTTGCATTCTGATGGCATCAGGAGAAGGAGGACATGACCTAAATTTAGCCCTTGGGAAGTAGCATCTAATAGTTAGGCTGCAACCTTGTTGGTTATTCAGCATGGTTTATCTGGCAACATTTTAAATTGCAGGTTTAATACAAAAATACCAGCCATTCAGTTTGGGCACTCAGTGGCTGTGTGGAACAGGCTGCCCTTGTTCTCTTGAAAGAGCTTTGGCTGGAGAAAGAAACACCGGATCCAGACAAAGAGGATCCTGTGCTTCCCGGCCAAGCACTTCCCTTCTTTGAGAGAGGCTTTTGGCATCCGTGCTTTGCAGAGTATATGGCCACCCAGTAGATGTCGGTGCTCATATTCTGATGTCCTTCCCTTCGTAGCTGAAGAGCTCTGGCTGACTAGAAGCAGGCACTCTTTCCTCTGCAGCTGGCAGATGTGTGTTGCCGGTTACTCTCACAGCTTTAAGGGCACGGTGTAGCAGGAAGTTCTCCTGTGCACACCTCATAGATGTGAAAAGAATTGCGTGAGGGTTTTATGTGGCTCCTGTAGGACTGAACATTGCTTCCTTTGTATACGTGAAGGGTACATAATGTGTTTTGTATTTCATTAAATAACACTTGTTCTTTGGGATTGTTCCCTCCCTCTCACCAAACAAAAGTATGTTTGGTGAGACATGGGAAAGGGTTCATGAGATTCTTTATGGAGTTAAGTTTGCCTAACAGAGCACTTGCAGTAGCCACGAAGTAAGCAGCTAGGCCGAATAATAATACATTCAGTAGAAGAGAATATCTTTTGCTCAGGGTTGAACTGTGGAGTCCTTGGTGCTCTCTGAGCTTGGTTGTTTGCTTGCCAATGTTTCATTACCTGACTAGGTAACATCATGATGTTACCTAGTCA